CAGAGAGCTTATCATTTTTTTCCCGCGTTCTTCTTGGTCTCATTTCTTTTTCTGAAAGAACTTTACACATACCTTATCGAGCGCCAGTGTTTCTGGATAACTGATTTGACAGAATTTCCTTGCTCGGCGTGGGTTTTGTCTTCTGTCACATCATTCCTTATTTCTTATTATAACTGATTAGTTATTATTGTCGCCGTTCTTATTGTTTCTGCTCCATAACGCAGTATTCAATACCGTAGAACTGATTTAATATTAATGTTAAATTTTTTAAATAAATGGAACAGTAGCACTTTAGCACCCATCTTCTCAGTGCAGTTGACACGGTTCTAATGGTATGTAGGATTTTTATTTAAAGAATGGGTTATTATTTGTATGGCTGTTCTTGTTTTTAATCTCCACAAGTCAACGTGCATCAGGTGTGATGTTTAAGATAATTGTACCTGCTCATTTCCTTAAGTATGTCCTCATTTAAACTGAAGTAACATTGGCATATTTCAATCCTATTGGATAGGGCCATATTTTCTGTCTTCTCACAATATATCTAAGTTTGTTGTGTATTCTTTACAGGAGGCTGAAGTAACCACACACACACACACACACACACACACACACACACACACACACACACAAAAACTAGTTTGTCCGATCTAAATTTGCATTTTGTTGGATTGCTGAGATGCGAATCAAACAGCTACAAATACGGGAGACCCTGTCCAACCGTACAGCAGTTATTTTTGGAGCACCATAAAAAGACCAGTGTGGGATAAGTTGTATGGCTTGAGTGTTTCAGGTGGCAGTTCGATGAAGTGATCACACACTGTTCAAGTCATGATTTCTCTCTTCCTTAATAGAAAACAATCGCCATCCGTTACCAAAGAAAGAATATGGGTACACTGCATGACAACCCAGAGCGAACCACTCGGTCAGATGTTCCTTTAAACATCACCACGGATAACAGTTGAGGTAGTTCATGAAGCGATTCTTCTGAGCCTGGAAATACTCAACATCCCATTCATCATCATCAAATGCTTTGCCTACTGTCGTGGGCGATGATGCGTCTCCAAAATCTGCGATCGGCAACTGCGTGTATCAGTTCCTGTGCTGACACCCCTCAGTGCCATGACCAAAGGGTGTCAGTAACCCTCAGCATGCCATAACATCTCGTGTTTCGTCCTCAACCGTACACGACTGCAGGGAACACATGAATGGTGCATCCGTTAATGGTGCTTTAATTATAACTTCTCTGAGGTTGAACTGGTATCTGGAATTAGCCCTGCTGATCTTTCGTCCTGAATGAGATGTTTTAATCTCAGGATGGTGCGGAAAACATTTAGGTAAAGGCAACCTTGTGATGTCGACCATTGAGAGCTGATTGGTCTATAGAGAGCCGACCTGTCCATTGAGAGCCGACTGGTCCATTGAGAGCCGACTGGTCCATAAAATATAAATCTAGCCCAATATACCCTATACGCCCAAAGGCGTGGAGAAGAGTCCTTTATTATAAAGCAACCATGCCTAAGGCCGTACGTAGCAAAGGGTACGGCTGTAATTGATAATTGTATAGATTATTAAATAAATCAGTGCCGTATCCTTTCCACTGCCACCAGACAGTGAGTTCGTAATACCACTGTCGAAATCAATACAATGCAGTCTGTGGCGAAATCGCTCGCAGCGATCAAAAATCAAACCCAGCACTTACAAATTACAAAGCGCATTCACAACGCCGAAAGCTACAGACAACAATGTACTAGAAACATCATAAAATACCAGTATTATTAATAATAGATTAAACAATTTATTGTTAAAAACGACATAAACTATTTTTTTTTAAAACTTTTAATACAATAATTAAAAATGTGATGTGGAAACCAGACTCGTGCGATTCATTCAAACTGCCAGTTCACTTACTTGTGGGAACTTATCTGATCTGACCGTCGTAACACTATTTCTATGGTTCTAAACGCGGGCATTATTTGCTGCTGGTGCACATACAGACTGAAGAGACTACAGTCAGCGACAACACTGCCCTTGCAACTTTTGTTGCTACATGTAAGTATCACTTTAAGGCTGCATGCGTAGCCAGGCCGCCACCATCTGTGCAGGATAGGATGTTTTGTTTTTTTCCGCAACAAATTGTTTTATAAAGGATTTGAACCAAGGTCTCACACATGATTGATTGATTGGCGCCTTCTCCCTTTCCAGACAGCAGTCTTGTAATGCGCTATGAGGAGGCACGGGACTCACATAGCAGGTGTGACTAGCAAGAACAGTTCAGAAGTCTTCCACAATTATAGCATGGGATTGCAGGACCATTTGTGTTTAGTCTGTTTCTTCTCAGACGCTTAGCTCTCCTCATTTCTGCAATCATTTCTTCTGTCATCCTCATTCTCTTCCTAATGTGACCACTCCGCACAACACGGATGGCGTTTTGTTCCCCCGAGTCCCACATAGGTGCCCTGCAATCTAACCAGTAGGCCAGTCCCTTTGATCGATCGATGAGTGTGTCCCCGCTGGGTTGCAAACTAAAGATTTACCGTAACATTTTAGGAGCTACAAATCTTTGTGTAGATGGCAGACCGATAAGTCAGACTCCAAATACCCCGTTCAACCGCCAAAGAAGACATAATTAGAGCGTCCATAACGGCTACACAAAGTATAACTAACAGTCTTATACTGGTAAGGACAAACTGCTTCTTTGCCAATGAAATATAAATACAGTTTAGTTTGGAGTCATCTTTTAAAATGTTGTATGCACCTATAGAATACGTATCATCATGAGAGCGCTTCCAAAAATAAAGGTTGCCACTTCTGTAATGATTCAAGCCCATTGTACTTCGCACTGAACCTGCCTGAATGGCGTCGACGATCACACCTCTCCACAACCTGCGATCAGCAGCTGCGTGTATCATTTAGGAGTGACAACGTCATGACCAAAGGCGGTCAACAATCTTCTCGTGTTGTCTTCTTCTGTCTGTCTCTTTTCACAAATCTGTCCAGTGGTCACATTATGTTTTCATTTTCCCTCTTTTCATAACATGGCCAAAAACATTATGACATGACTCTATTTCTGATATTTGTGATAATTTGTCTCTGAGACTTCGCAGCTTTCAAAACATCTTTGTCGTTCTTTTTGTCCAAAGAATTCTAAGTTTGTTTCTGTAAAACCACAGCTTCGAGGCCTCAATATATTGCCCAAAGAATTCTAAGTATTATTCTGTAAAACCACATCTCCGAGGCCTCAAGAAATTGTGTGGCTTGTTTATTTATTGTCCAGGATGTGTACAGCACCAGTTTTTGTTGCTTCAAGTGGCTCAAATATTACCCTGAAAATAGCATAAGCCTACTCAGAGTGGCTTCAGAATTCGACACTCAGCAATTGTAATAATTATCCGTGCCTGAATTTATTAGATTTGTGTGACGCCAGGACTGCACTAGTCGGTGGGAAAATCCCGCCTCTGCTGGGGATTGAACCAAGGCTACTTTATCGGCGGGACCCGCAGCGGTGTAGAGGATAAACGCTCGCATGCGTATCTGAAGGTCATGGGTTTAAATCCGAATAGCGCTAGACGTTTTTGTTTGTTTTGTTTAAATGTCCTTGGGTCCCCGCTTGATTTAGCCCTAAATGGGTATAGAAAACCACGAAACTGGGCGGCAAGAATTATTTTAAAAATGAGTAAATCTATATTGGAATCGCAACAGCAACAAAGGAAGAAAATGGCTAGCGACAAATTGGGAACCATTGCAGTCGAGGCATGACTGATAAAATACATAAAATAAGTCACATTTCGATGAGAGGAGTTGTACTAAAAATTATGTGCTACTGCATGTTTTCAGCAAACATAGGCTTATAGGACCTATTTTAAGCAGTCGATAATTCAGTTATGATTGGAGTCCAAAAGTCTACAATTGTGACAGGAGTCCAAAAGTCTACAGCTGTGATAGGAGTCCAAAACTTTCCAGCTGTGATAGTAATCCAAACTTTATAACTACGTATCAGCGAAGTTATCAAGTTGTTTGCCTCGTTCTCTGAGTGACGTTGGCTTGTTTCAAAAACGCGTCGTCCAATTCACTAGTGCCGTTTTACAGGGGATCGTCGCTGAAGCTACGAAGTTTGCGTTTTCTGCGACTGCCTCGGCAAGCGGCTAGTCGATCAAAGATGTCCAAACTTTACAGCTGTGATAGCAGTGAACACCTACAATAGTGATAGAACCTCCAACTCTAAAGTTATGATAATAGTCTAAAATCGTTAGCCATCAAAGCAATTCTTGTCATACAACTGTTATAGGTATTTAACTATACCGTCAGTTATAACGCTGTTATAGATCAGTCATCAGTTGTTCCTGTTACACAAATGGTAAATGCATTCCAGCCACACAAATGCTATAGAATCAGTCATACAGCTGCTAAAAGCGTTCCCGCCATACAACTGCAGCAAAGGTTAGCTAATAAAAAGTTGTATTACATCAATCAATCAAACAGTCAACATCACTAGCTTACAATGATGCATAGGCCGGTGAGCATGTTGCATTCATGACAGCTTGTTGCCACTTTCTCCTTCTCTCTCACGAAAAACTCACAAATTCTGCAATGTTTTGTTATCTTTTCCCGAGGTAGGTATTCAGCCAGCCATTAGAATGCATAAATTCCTAACACAGTCATTGTGCTGCTCAGCAGCTCTTACATTGATTCCACGAAGCAACATCGTGTTTCTCAAAAGCCGCCCGTGTCATCCAAATAGTCATCTTCATTAAACCGATGAAACAGACATACACAGTCAGTTTCGTTCATGCTGTTTGATTGTCAGCAACAGTAACTGCATTGATACTTAATTTAAAATGCTCAGTGTAGTATTCCAAAAGCGTAACACACACTGATGGTGCATCAATAGTTATCCTCATCAGAAAGGCTACTACAGAATCAAAGGAACTAATCAACCATGACGGTTTACGCACCAATGTTATTTTCACACAGCCTTGTTAAAAAGAACACTATTGACACCGTTAGTTACAGTAGTGCTTCTCTATGACTTTGGTACATCTTTTGCATTCTACCCGACAGCACCAGAAGAACTTACAATCGCAGTCGTGCTTCTCTTCGATGATCAAGGTCTGGTACCCACGTCCGCAACACATCAGAGTGCAACCATCCAAGCCGTAACTTGTCTTGTTGCACTGGCGTCCCCTGGTACCCAACGACCCGTAGTCCGGATTGAACTCGCAGAAATCTGGCGACTCAGCCAAGTACACCAGGTCCTTCTTTGTTGGTCGCTTCTGCTTACCGCTAATACGCTTTAACCTGCTCCTCTTTTTATCCCAGCGTACAAAACTGGCGCCGTCAAACTTCTGTTTCAACGTAGCTCCGATCTCTCGAAATGAACGCATTTTCCGCCAGCAGATTTTTACCGAGCAGTCGCCAGAAACGCCATGACACTTGCACTGGATTTCTATCTCATCTTTGATGGTCTGTGGAGACAAGCAAATATAGAAGTGTTAGCTTACATTACAAGATGTAGTTACATTGGACACTGTGTTCGTTACCGTTAAAATTGAGTTAGCTTCTTCTTTTTTTCTTCTTCTTCTTTTCTTCTTCTTCTTCTTTTTCTTCTTCTTTTTCTTCTTCTTCTTCTTCTTCTTCTTCTTCTTCTTCTTCTTCTTCTTCTTCTTCTTCTTCTTCTTCTTCTTCTTCTTCTTCTTCTTCTTCTTCTTCTTCTTCTTCTTCTAATTCTTCTTTATCATTATCATCTTCTTCTTCTTCTTTTACTTCTTCTTTTTCTTCTTCTTCGTTTACTTCTTCTTTTTCGTTTTCTTCTTCTTCTTCTTCTTCTTCTTCTTCTTCTTCTTCTTCTTCTTCTTCTTCTTCTTCTTCTTCTTCTTCTTCTTCTTCTTCTTCTTCTTCTTCGTCGTCGTCCTCCTCTTCTTTTCCTGTACCTTATCCTGCAACATAGCATAAGCCTTGAACAAACTCATGCAAGTCGCCGAATTCTTTGCTATTGCATGCAGCTTACTTCATATTCTCTTAGCTTCATTCTCTAGCTTCCTTCGCCGTGTGTTTTTTATATGCCCTTGTGGGTGCCAGATTTGGGAGAGGGGGGGGGGGGGTGGCTGTAATACACACAAACCAAAAACCCCTAACCAACCATGGAAAAGTAAAAAAGGAGTAAACAGTGCAAAAAAATAATTATTTCAGTAACGTATGACACATAGAAACAGCATATTCCTTCCAAATATTTATGCCAGCCACTTTTCATTAACAAGACAATCTATCTGCCCAGCTGTCTGTCTGTCTGTCTGTCTGTCTGTCTGTCTGTCTGTCTGTCTGTCTGTCTGTCTGTCTGTCTGTCTGTCTGTCTGTCTGTCTGTCTGTCTGTCTGTCTGTCTGTCTGTCTGTCTGTCTGTCTGTCTGTAATATTGTAATAGCTGTCTATCGAGCAGTAAATTTACTGCCTTTCTTGTTTATATTTATGTTCCGATCAGCTAACATATGTATGTCCTTATATCCGCTAAAATGAAAGTGAGTTTGCTTGGTAGTCTGTTTTTGTATTTTTTCCTGTAAGTCTCATCCTATATGTATGGCTGTCCGTCTGACTTTCTGCCGATCTGTTCATTTTCATGTGCCTGCTTGATGCACATGTCGGTATGTCTGTCTATCCGCCTGCTCATCAGACGATTAGCATATTAAAATGCATGTTTTTCTGTTCGCCTCATCCTTTTTGTCTGTCCACCCATCCATCTGCAGACTTCGGTGTATGTATATGCTCTATACGTCTCACTAAACACACATACTGACGTTCAATGTCTTAAACGTTCAACTGTTTCATCCCAAAAGGTCGTGGCTAATGTCTGATTGAGCAATAATTAAAGCAGCAAAAGGATAGGTGTACTACATCCTCAAGATCTAAACAGACAATCCTTAAAGAAAACAGATGTTCCGGAGTATGCCCTGACTTTGTATATGATGTGCAAACATACACAGCGATTCGACTGACGCACATGAGTAATATCCAGTCACGTGTGGGGCGTTGTTTGGTACTCACTAAGTTAAAATACGAACTCTTCACATGTCTCCGTCAAGAAAATTCTCTTACATTCCCCCAGGATATTTACCTGTCTAAACACTCTGTCATCGTCGAAGAAGGATTTCAACAGACATTCCCTGTACTTAATTTATATTTTCATACCTGAAGAAAGTGTGGTTACCTGTATTTCATATCGCTAATTAGTTAAAATATATATATATATATATATCTCCACCTGCCCCCCCCCCCCTTTTTCCTCGTATTTTGTTTTCTGCCTTGATGATTTATTGTCTAGTCTTATAGTGATACATAGCATCTGTTGAGATCTTTTGATAAACTAAGCCTAATTACAATTAGATATGTTTATACCAGGGATTATACTTCTCGGCAGAAATTGAATTAAGGAAGGGAATAGGAGCGTTGCAGACAGGCTAAGAGCGCCAAAAGAACCAAGTCAATGGAACCAATAATGGGCTTGAAACCTCATGCTTCCCTGTGGGGTCCGGGCCTCATTGTGGGGGGGGGGGGAAACAAGAATATACCCACTGTCTCCACAGCAAGCATGTCATAGGTGTCGACTAACTGGGTGTTTCCTTCCAAGTCGGAGTGCATTTGCCTGATAGGCAAGGAACCAAAAATCTGCAAACAGTATGGTCAGGTGTGTTAAACGGATGTGCACGCAAAGCTCAGTTTGTTGAATATGATTTAAGTCCACAGATGGACAAACAACCAGAACTTTCTGCTAGAGTTTACAACTTACGAACGCGAAGAAGAAAGAGAAGGAAAATAATAATAATAATAATAATATAATAATAATAATAATAATAATAATAATAATAATAATAATAATAAAATAAAGAAGAAGAAGAAGAAGAAGAAGAAGAAGAAGAAGAAGAAGAAGAAGAAGAAGAAGAAGAAGAAGAAGAAGAAGAAGAAGAAGAAGAAGAAGAAGAAGAAGAAGAAGAAGAAGAAGAAGAAGAAAAAGAAGAAAAGAGGAAGAAGAAGAAGAAGAAGAAGAAAAAGAAGAAGAAGAAGAAGAAGAAGAAGAAGAAGAAGAAGAAGATGAAGAAGAAGAAGAAGAAGAAGAAAAGAAGAAGAAGAAGAAGAAGAAGAAGAAGAAGAAGAAGAAGAAGAAGAAGAAGAAGAAGAAGAAGAAGAAGAAGAAGAAGAAGAAGAAGAAGAAGAAGAAGAAGAAGAAGAAGAAGAAGAAGAAGAAGAAGAAGAAGAAGAAGAAGAAGAAGAAGAAGAAGAAGAAGAAGAAGAAGAAGAAGAAGAAGAAGAAGAAGAAGAAGAAGAAGAAGAAGAAGAAGAAGAACAAAAAGAAGAAAAAGAAGTAGAAGAATGTGAGTAAAACAAATTTATATAAGAAAGACAAGATCGATGTGATTATAACCAATTTGTATAAGAATGACGAGATCAAGGTGATTAGAGAAAAATGTGTATAAGAATGACAAGATCAATGTGATTAAAACAAATTAATATAAGAATGACAATTTCAATGTGATTAAAACAAATCTGTATAAGAATGACGAGATCAGTGTGATTAAAACAAATTTAGATAAGAATGATGAGATCAATGCGATTACAATAAATTTATATAAGAATTATCAGATCTATGCGATTAAAACAAAGAGTAAAGGGAAGCAAAAGACAGAAGTATTGATATTGAAACAGTCTGCCATGACAGCATGGAGCAAATGCTGAATGAGACATGAATGGTTTTTAATACGAGTAACAAAAGGTTGTGAACATACATTATTACCAGGGCTACATGCAAAGAAGAAGATGCATAAACGACGTTAGCTTTAAAGACCCACTTACAAGGAGGACGTTGCGGCGATTAGCCTTCATCAGCAGAACAACGACAAGTAAAAACACAACACAAACAAGAATAAACTGACGAAAGTGGCTATACTAAGGTATTAAAATTGTATGTAAACAAATGAGACGGGGGAAAAAAAACATCAGGACTACATGTTTTGTTTACTGTTTGAAATAATATTTTTACACCTTAAAAGTAGTCATTTTAATCACTTTATTTTTGTATGTATTGGGTTTTGTTTCCAGTCCTTGTTCTGTCAATGAAGGGTAATCGCCGCAGCGCCCTGAGTTTGTTTACTGTAAGTGGTTTCTTAAAGCTGACAGATAACTCCTTTTTAAAAAAAAACTATTTTCTTTCTTTCCTTTTTCATTACTATTGCAGAAAATGTTCACTACAAACGAACTTACCTTTCTGCCAGCCCCATTGTTCCAGAGGTTCATACTGCCGTGATCGATATTCTTGACTTCATCTGAGTCAACAAACTCTTTAGAGAAACGTGCTCCATATCGGATGTTGTCTGAGCATCCTCCCCACTCAAAATCGGCACCAGGATCGTTGCTCCTGGCTTTGCTGTCGCAGCCACACTTGTCCAGCTCTCCTTTGGCACAAGCCCGGGTGACACTGTACATAATTCCGGCTGAAGAGATGGCATAGATATACGCTGTTTCTCGACTCTCTGGGAATTATAAAGCACAGTCAGTCAATATCTCTTTGGATAATACTACATAGGCAATTTAATATCTAAGAATATCTGATCGTTTGATTAAATTTAATATCGAAGAATATCTGATAATTTGATCAGTGAATAATGACAAATAGTCCTACAAGTGTAGTGGGCACATTGTGCTAGACCGATATTTTATTGACCAGTCGGCACTTTTGCGGTCAACACCACGCCGGCCGCCATTACTTCCTAGGTCCTTACGTGGTGCCCATTTAAGGCTGGGTGGAAATGGGTGCTAATGTCACTTTGTTTTAAGAAGAAAAATAAGTCCGGCTTTGAACCCACAACCTTGGGATTCGCAGGCGAGCATCTAACTGTTACACCAGGGCAGCGTCCCTATATAGTTGACAGCTTGTGTAAAACAGGCAGATGAATGTTGACATCATGATTATTTGTATTTCACTTGAAAGAATTCACTTGAATTCAATTTGAAACTGTTACTGTAGTATGCGTCTCACAAATTATAGCGTCATACGTCCGGAAATAATTGATAATTTTGTTATCGGTGTCTTTTTTTTTGGTTCTGATTAGCAAAGGTAGAACATTGTGTTTGTTCTCAATGTTCTCAATGGATAGTTGTAAACCGTTCAATGAATAACAATAAGTAGTTAGTTTAATTTGTGGATTCTATGAACCGCGACTGAATAATAAAACGCAGAAACAAATTCTAAAAATTACAATCAAAAGCAAAGTTTCTGAAAGAATGTTAATAGGTAATCAGTATAATTTGAGTCAGCTCTCTATAAAGAATAATATTAGTTCAAATGTTTCAGGATATAATAATACATAGTCAAATCCTATGATAACAATACTATTCCGTTACTAAACTCATTGTATTATAATAATAATAATACTCAGTCAATAAACTCTTGGGGGATAATAATAATATACAGTCAGTCAGCACTTTGGACAATAATAGTAATATAAAGCCACTCAAATCTTGATATATTAGCTTCATTCACCAGTCAACTCTTGATATATTAGCTTCATTCATCAGTCAACTCTTGGGACAATAATGATAATAAATCTACTAAACTCTTGATATACTAGCAATATACAGTCAGTCAACTCTTGGGACGATTTAATGATAATATAACGCTACTCAACACTTGATATATTAGCAACATTCAGTCGGTCAAATCCTGGGACGATAATAATAATAATACTATAAAGCCACTCAACACTTGATATATTAGCAACATTCAGTCGGTCAAATCCTGGGACGATAATAATAATAATACTATAAAGCCACTCAACACTTGATATATTAGCAACATTCAGTCGATCAACTCTCTAGTGATAAAAATAATATAAAGCTAACTCTCTTGAAATAACGATGATGACGATAAAATTATTAATACCCTACAACCAATCAACTCTTTGTGGATAGTAATGATAATGGTATATAGCCAATCAACTTTTTGTGGATAATAATGATAATACTATACAGCCAATCAAATCTTTTTTGGAAAATAATGCAAATAATCTACAGCAAATCAACTCCTTGTGGAGGATAATAATAAAGAAGCGTTGAATAAACTCTCTGGTGCTAATAATAAAGATTTAATCTACAGTTTTGATAACAAATTCTTGGGATAATTACAATAATGACCAGTCAATCAACTAGTGGCCCCATTAACCCATACAGTCAATCAACCCGTGGCACAATAGTTCAAATTACTGCTACACAGTCAGTCAACACACTGTGAATAATAATAACTAATTACTTCTCTTGTGCTGATGATAATAACAATGTTTAGTTTAGTCGACGAATAAACATCAAGGCAAACGGGTTTTACCCATTAGTGCTCCGTTATATTTCTAACTCAAGCCTGAGTAAGAAGTTTGTCAGCGCAGTACACGAACTCCGTTGCACCGGCGAGGTTCGTAAAATACTTTGGGTAGATTTTTACTCCAAATTTCGCCCGGGCAGGGCCGTTATGCTACCTTTTTCGATTTTCAACTGCCAAGGGATTTTGTTACCTGACCAACAATACACATGGGCATCCGATCTTACTACCCACAGACCAGGGGAAATTACTAGAAGTCCACATGAAAAAAAATTCCCAGCCTTCGTCGAGGTTTGAACCCGGGACCTCCAGCACTCGAGGCGGATGACATTCCTCTAGACGACGAAGCCTCCATGATAAAAATAATAATATAGCAGGTTGAACTTTTTCGGAGTAATAAATGGTCATTCAACTTTCTGGAGATAATATTTTGTCAATCAACTCGCTAAATGTTGTATTAAACAGCTCTCTGAGGAATGTAAACTGTCAATCAACACTTTAGGGATAATAATCTGTTTTTCAGTTGTTTGGGAAAAAATAACAATTTGTTAATCAACTCACTTGAAATAAAAATAAATAATTATCATCAACCCGCTAGAAACAAAAAAATTGCCAGTCAACTGTCCAGAGGTAATAACAACGTTCAATCAGTTTCGGCTGTCGATTCCCCTGTGTTATTGTTACTGGTAGAAATAAAGAGTCCTTCTGTATGTACCCAGATAATCGTCTCAACGCATTTTACGCCAAGTGATTGATCACGCAAAATTGGCATATTTCACACAAGCACAGAGCCTTTTAAAGTAGTTCATTTCTCGTCTCGATTAAATTATGAGATTGATTAGCAAACTTTAATAACAGGGTCTCCTCCTCCTCCCCCCCCCCCCCCCCCCCCCCATGTAATTGTAAGTTGCTTGGTATTTAATGGGAGGGGGGGGGAATAGCATTATTGGAACGCCAAAGGCGGGAAAATTATTCAAATTCTGGTACGATTTACATCCGTTGTGCTGTTGAATTATCTATATTATCGATATTTCCTCAAACCCACCCCCCGCCCCTTTTTTTTCCTCACACAGTGACGGAGTGGTTAAGCTGTTAAAATCGCACTTCAAACGCCTTAGCTTCACGAACTGCGTCGTTGGGTTCAGGGAAGCAATTGAACAGAGATCTGTGGGAATCATCGCTTGATGTACAGAGTTTGTGCTTTGTGCGATGCTCTAGATAGGTGGTTAGCTGTTCTAAAGTGAGACATCCAGCCATGAGTGATCAAACCCCATGCAATGATCTCCCCTCGAAATTTGCATTTGCAAATCCCTGAAACTCCCTTCAACCGTATAGCTAGCTATACACCAGCTTTACTGGGGTACTTCAAAACGGTTATGAAGAAACCTGTAGTTCATTGTGGGTTCATTTCTGCACAATAAAGTCACTTCTCTCGACTTTATATAAACACAGGTAAGTGTGTGTGTGTGCGCGCGCGTGCCTTTGAATGTCACTGCTGGCAATCTAAAATCATTTGCTATATTATAAACACTATCAACACTGCTGTCAATTCTTTTGGCATCAACACAGCGACATAGGAGGCTGCTGCACAGGACCATTATGGATGGCGCACATCCCTGAGACATGGTGCATCAACCGCAGCGGAGGTTGCACAGATAGAGAAACAGACGCAGACTTGAAAGAACCGTATGGCTGACCAGACACTTACTACGGCTTCCACCTGTTTTCGGCACTGCTCAAGAACTTTTCGGGCTCATCTTGGACTAATCGGCTACCTTCGTACACATAATCATTCGTCAATTAGGCTAGAGGTTCCGGGTTCAATTCCGGTAAGGGCTGGGAATTTTTCACGTGAACTTGGACTTTCAGTAACTAACCCTGGTCTCTTGGTAGTGAGATCGTACGCCCGCATTCATTGTTGCACACGTAAACAATCTTTTGGCAGTTGGAAATTGAAAAGAATAGTCTAAGGGCGCTCCCTATCAAAAATTTGAAGTTAAAAATCTACCCTAAGTATTTCAAGATTCTCGCCGGTGCTACCGAGCCTGTGCACTGTGCTAAGCTTCTTTGGACAGACTTAAGTTAAAAGAAAAGCGGAGCAATTATGGGTTACTTGCTGTGTGCCGTGATGTTGATCCGTTGTTCAAACCTCAAATCATTGATCCTCACTACTTAGGGTAAAAGCGGTCTTCATCATTTGTGATGAACGAACAACATAAACTTCGAAGCAAAGGACGAGTGCTAAGCAAAGGCAAGACACAATTCTGTGGCGACAGGTCTTGAAGATGCCTATAACGGCACTGACTACACATCTTTTACAATACTTGATGGACTGCTGTGTCAAACCTTCGTTAGCTACTTGATGGAGCAGCACGACGTTATATTGTTCGGGAACATGGAGATGGAATGCAAGCCGCATCTGACCTGGTCTTGCTCAGAGATCACCATCACTCTTACCTGCGAGCGGACGAACACACATAATTTTCCGCAGGGTTTTCTGCCGGTGAACGCGAAGAAGAAGAAGAAGAAGAAGAAGAAGAAGAAGAAGAAGAAGAAGAAGAAGAAGATGCAGAGGAAGAAAGAAGAAAAAAAGAAGAAGAAGAAAAAAAGAAGAAAAAAAGAAAAAAAAAGAAGAAGAAGAAAAAAGGAGAATAAGAAGAAGAAGAAGACGAAGAAGAAGAAGAAGAAGAAGGACAAGAAAAAATGAAAAAGAAGAAGAAGAAAAAGAAAACGAAAACGAAGAAGAAGGAAAAGAAAAAAGAAAGAAAAAGAAGAAACAGAAGAAACAGAAGAGGAAGAAGAAAAAGCAGAAGAAGGAGAAGAAGAAAAAAAAAAAATTAAAAAATGAAGAAGTAAAAGAAGAAAAAGAAGAAGAAGAAGAAGAAGAAGAAGAAGAAGAAGAAGAAGAAGAAGAAGAAGAAGAAGAAAAAGAAGAAGAAGAAGAAGAAGAAGAAGAAGAAGAAGAAGAAGAAGTCAGAAAAAGGAAGAAGAAGAAGAAGAAGAATATCGATGAACGTCGTTAAGATCACACCTGATGCCCATACTTGCAAGGATATTTTTCAGCACACAAGTTAGGGTTGGTCGACCTAGTAGCCAATGACAACTGCAAATTTAAAAAAAATCCCTCTCGATGCTGAATCGAACTCAAGAATTTCGCGCCGG